TTTTGGGCCTTGATTTGGGTTAGGTTTTAGAGGAGGGTATAAATACCTCTCTTCCTTGTAATTGGGAGGGGAGAGGTATGTAGAGAGAGAAATATTAGAAAATCAAATTTCAGCTTATTGTTTTTTTTCTTTCTTTTGCACTTTAGATTAGTTAGGGTTTAGTTCCTCATTAGATCTAAAACACTACTCTTTGTTACTCTCTTTCATTTTCAATCCAAGATTAAATCTTTTGGTATTATTTCTATCCCTACTCTTTATTTATTGCTTTATTTATCTATTTTAATTAGTTTTAGCTTATCTTTAGTTGTTATTTCAAGTCAATAGAATAGTTTAATATCTTAGTTGCCTCCTTGTTTAAACTTGCAATTTCTGGTTTTGATCCTTTATTTTCTTGCTATTAGTATAATATTATCCTTATTTGCTTAGATTTCATGCTATTTAGAATAGATTACAAGTAGACTTAACATATTCTCTTCAAAGTTAACTTCTTTAGTAAAGTTTAATCATCCTATTTTCTGGTTTTAGCCATGTTTCTCTCATTAAACTTAGTTTTTGCTTTTGTTAATGTTCTTGTGTGCTTTGGTATGACCCTTCCTTCTCTAGGCTAGGTTTCTAGCTAGGGGAGGGGGAAATGATGAACTAATGATGAAATGAATGATATGTGGTGCAAGATTGGGTAGATTGAGAAGTTTTGCAATTGATTCCAACCTAGGTTTTAGTTGTTAGGAATTAGAGATTGATCACCTCTAAGACCCTATTTTGTGTTGCATGCTAGTTGCGCGAGAGTGAGCTTGTATGTGATGATGACTAGGTTAGGGATGACCTCGACCACCGAGGCGGGGTTGGGTAGGCGGTGTTTAGGTGAGCCCGAGAGGGAATCCTAGATGTTGGACCATAGGCCCCAATTGTTTGGTTGACCGATTGAACCATTCTTGTTGCCTCTAATTGTTGAAATCATTGTTAGTTAGGAATTCTCCCCTATCCCCTAGTGTTTGCTATTCCTTGATTTTCGAAGTTTTATACCTCTGCTTGTTGCTCGTTAATTTAGTTCTTAGTTTATTTGTTTCCCTAGTAGCTATAGATAAATCCATCAAAAATTTATTCCTCCCTTTTCAATTGACTTATAAGTGATCTAAGCAAGAGACGTTTGACCTTCCCTGAGGATTCGACCCCTCTTCCACTATGCTACCTTTGGTTAGTTTAGGACGTGGGTTTTCTTTTTATTCTTGACTCGACCTTTAGGAACTAACGACACCTAGGGGGCCGATCAGGAAGGTATGCAAGCTTAAGAAGTCCATTTATGGACTAAAGCAGGCAAGCAGAAGTTGGAATCTGCGATTCGATGAAGCCATTAGTAAGTTTGGTTTTATCAAGAATCCAGATGAGTCTTGTGTCTACAAGAAGGTCAGTGGGAGTGACACCGCATTCCTAGTCTTATATGTCGATGACATTACTCATTGGAAACAGCACTAAACTGTTAGAGTCCGTAAAGGGCTGGGTGGGAAAGTGTTTTTCAGTAAAGGACTTGGGAGAGGCATAGTACATATTGGGCATCAAGATCTATAGGGATAGATCTAAGAGGATGATTGGATTGAGCCAAACTACTTTTATAGATAAGGTATTGGCATGATTTAACATGGAAGGGGCCAAGAGAGGGCACCTACCCATGTCCCATGGCATAACTCTCAGCAAGAAACAGTTTCCACAGACACCTGATGAGCGAGAGAGAATGAGTCAGATTTCATATGCTTCGCTTATTGGATCGATCATGTATGGCATGATATGTACTAGGCCGGATGTATCGTATGCCTTGAGTGCTACGAGCCGATACCAGTCAGACCTAGGAGAGGCGCATTTGACTGCGGCCAAGAATATCCTAAAGTACCTGAAAAGGAACAAGGATAAATTCCTGGTCTATGGTGGTTGTAATGAGTTTATTGTTGAAGGTTATACTGACACGAACTTCCAGACTAATAGAGATGACTCCAAGTCGCAGTCGGGGTACATATTCTGCCTTAATGGTGGAGCGTTTAGTTGGGAGAGTGCTAAGAAAAGCACCACTGCAGATTTCACAACTGAAGCCGAATACTTGGCAGCTTTGGAAGCAGCTTAGGAGCCAGTTTGGATTCGTAAGTTCATTAGTGAACTTTACCCTCAATCAAGGGTCCAATAGACCTCTATTGTTATAACAATGGAGGTATTGCTCAGGCTAGGGAGCCAAGGGAACATCAAAAGGTCAAACATGTCAAGCGGTGATTTCACATGATAAGGGAATGGAAATCCGAAGGTGAAATCAGAATTTGTAAGATTGGAACGGACGACAATGTAGTCGATCCTCTGACTAAACCTTTGTCTCAAGTGAAGCACAACAAGCACGTTGAGGCAATGGGAATCACGCACATTGGAGATTGGCTTTGATTTCCCTGTAGAGATGTTTTAATTAAACTCAGTGTCTTAATGTAAAACAATATGTTGAACCATTCAATTTTGGAGCAATTAATTTTTCAGCAAATTTATGATTACTCCATATCTATTTAATTGTGGTTTAGAATTAATTAATGAGTCCATTCGATTTTTGAGAATATTCAAAACAGGGTATCAAGACCATGTCTTGGATAAAGAAACACCTGTTAAGTGAACATTGAATATTTTAATCGAAAATTATCCCTAATCGAGGTCATTTAAATGATAAGACGATTAATGACCACTTGAGATTAGTGTGTAGTATGATTTATAGCACCGTTTCTTGTGCTACAAGGATTTGATAGTCATAAATCATTTGCACAGGTACTAGTTTGGAACTATACCGGATAGACCTATGAGAATACTTTAAGAGATATCAAATCGTCATAAGTATATTTCTCATTATAGCTATCGGAACCTTTTTCCTCAACCATGAGTATTGCAAGTTCTCTTATTTGAGTACTAGTCGTTTTGATGTTGTCAAACGTCTGCCGTAAATGGGGATTATAACGGCAGCACTTAGGTGACTAGGTCCTCTTAGTAAGGGATTATAGTACAAGACTGGGAATGTCCCCCCATTAACAATAGGGAACATGTCTTTGTTGTTTACAAGGCCTCTCGAAGAGCGAGACTGTGAAAATGCATGGCCGTGCTCAGATGGATTTTAGAAATCATCTATTTATTGACAGTCGAACTCGGGAATCGAGAAACACTTCTGGACGTAATAAGGATGACGAAGAATCTTACCTTATAGTTCATGAAAAAGACATTAAGCGACATAAGAAAAGGGCTATACACAATTTACACACTTGTCCGGAAGGACAAGTGGGAGATTGAAAGGAATGGTGTCCTTCCAACAACTGTATTATTCCGATAGAGGATTTAGAATTATTGGATAGCTAATTCTTCTGTAAGGTCAAGTGATTGGAATGCCTAGGTGGAGGCCGCTTCCGATCAGTAATATTAATGTACAATTAATATTACAGCTTAATCTTGACTGAACCCTTCGGGTCGAACCTAATCAAACAACCGATCCGAGACGACGAATCAATCCGAAGGATTTGACGAGTCGTCAGAGTTTTACGAACAAAGACGTCGGATATCGAGCCTAAAGCGTCGAGACAGAGCGTCGCAAGTCTAGTCGAATTTAGAATTTGACGAGACGCGAAATCAATCAAGTTACAAGTTCAAGTCAGTTTGTAGCCTCGCATTGGCCTAGCCATGCGAGGGCTAGGCTATCTCGAGCTAGCATGTGCATCGCAATGCTAATCGCAAGCCTAGCATGCTAAGCATGCCAGGCCCATGCATGCTAGCTAGCCACCGCAAGCATCGCAGCCTTGCGTGTGTGCTAGCATGCCATACGCCCAGCCATCGCAACGCTAGGCCTTGCTAGCATGCTAGGCGATGGCGCACAGCTAGCCCAGCAAGGATCGCAAAGGCTAGGCCTTGCTAGCATGCTAGCGCCGGCTGCCTAGCTAGCAGCATCGCACAGCACCATGCGCCAGCCAGCAGCGTGCTGGGTTGTGCGTGTGTGTGCGTGTGCCTAGCACAGCATCGCACAGCATCATGCGCCAGCCAACAGCGTGCTGGGCTGTGCGTGTGCTTCGCATAGCAGAGCCCAGCAAGAAGCTCGCATGCCTCGCCTAGCAGCAGCGCCCAGCATGTGTGGCTCGCTAGCAGCACGCATGCACTTGCTGGCTGTGGTTGGCTGTGCGAGTGTGCTGGCTGGCTGGCCAGGCTGCCCAACCTTGGTGCTAGGCGCCAGCTGGCAACCTTGGTAGCCAAGGCAGGCTGCCAGCCAGCCACTTGCCAAGGAGGACCGATTTTGCTAGTGGGGACCAAAGATTGGTTCATGCCTTGGGGAGCAAGGTGGGTTAGTCCCCTCCCTTAGTGGTCCTCACCTTCTCCCTCCCCTCCTCTTGCCACTTTATATTTGTTTTAATTAAAATAAAATAGGAAAATTGCAAATCTCCCACATTGATAGAGAGCGAGAATTCAAGGTTCATTTCCCTATACATACCAAGGTTTTGGGATTTGGGAAGAACACTTGAGTGGAGCTAATAAGGCATCTCCTTAGAAAAGAGAGAAAACCTTAAGTTCGTAAAACTCTAGTTTTTATTGGTCAGGTCCCGACTAACCTTCGGAACTTGGATCGTTCGGGTCACGTTCGTGGGTACGAGCCGTCGGAGACCTTTGCATTTGCGGGGTTCAAGTAAGAGCTCGGGATTCGAGCGAAGCATGCGCCAAGGGTAAGAATGTCTTTTCTTCTCTCTCTTAATTGTTGTTTAATTAGGGATTACGTGCTTAGTCGCTTTAATTAATGTGCGGGTCTTTGGTGGGTTTCCCTTCCGCGTAGAGTCGGACTCTACGAAACCCAACAAATTTAAGCATCTAAAGCTCATTTTGTAATGGTTTTGGGCATTTCTTGATTCGTCACCCGTGTACAATTTCGTCTTACGAAGTCCATAACCATCGCCCTCTATATAGAAACTACATTCAATGGTTATATGCTAATGTTGCATTTGTGTAGATAAGAGTATACGAATCACTAATCCTATATGTATTTATTCAAGGTACAAATTACTTGCAAGAAATATCATTAAAGTATTAAAATTTTACAGGTTCATATTCCTAATTGGTAAATCATAAAACTTGATAACTAAAATACGAAAAAAAAAACAAAAAAAAAAAAAAAAAAAAAACCTCGATCGTATTGCAATTCCTTGTCCTTAGCTTGATCGTTAATCATTTGAAGTAATGTGGGTATCATGCAATCATTATCAACCTATTAGACAAGATAAAGCAGAATAAAATTTAAATTAAAATTAAAAACAAAAACCTGTTGAAAGTTAATAATCAATTAAAAGGCAGAAAATGTAATTTCTATAACATATTAAAGCATGGTTAAGATAAACATTTCAATTATATATCCTATATCCTAGTATATTTGCACATGAATAAAGTTTAAATTAATAAATTAAAAGGTAGAAATTTGCAACTAAATATACTTTTAATCACAAAGATGAAGATATACAAGTGAGAATTTGATAAGGAAAAATAATTTACCTGCTAATTAATTGTAGATCTTTGCAAATTTAATTAAATCAAAAATCCAACATCATTGTATAACGAAAATTACCAAATATTGGGAAAGCGTAGATTAAAGTAAAACAAAAAGGGGTTAATTAGCACTGAACTTTAATTAATTAAAATAAACTAAATTAAATTAGTATAAAGACGATGAAACATACCATATTTTTAGCCCATGAAGTGGTGGACGGTGTGACTGTCGGCACAAACTAGAGAAGAGAGAAAATAGAGAATTAGACTAGGGTGGTGGTCGAGGCTACGAGAGATGATTTGTGGGCGTCCATTCCTTACTCGTTCCCTTTCAAGAAGATCTGAGATGAACATGGAGAGGAAGGAGAGAGATGAAATGAGGAAACAGGGTTAGGGTATTAGAGAGAAAGAAGGAAATGTGGCCTATGTGAAATGTCAAGGAATTCACCAAAACTTTTTGTTTATAAATATTCTCAACATTAAAATGATTTGAATTTCAAAACTTTGTTGCAGGCGAAAAAACTCCGCCTTTATTTTCAGTGTTTTGGGCAACGGATTCAAGTATTTATAGTCCTTACTCTTCATTAAGGGCAACGAACATAATAACATTTCGGGCGACAAAATAAATCTTGGTTTCCTGCAATTGCCTTCGGGCAACAAAACTAACGGCTCGTCGCCCAATATTTCAAATTGGGCAATGAATTAAACTATTCACCGCCCATTAGTTGTAATGGGCAACAAATAATTATTGGTTTCCCAACCTATGAGATAAGGGCGACAAATTTAAATCTCGTTGCACATCCAAACCTTTGTCGTTGCCCAAAATCAATTTTCTTGTAGTGCTAGCAAGGAAAACTAAAGTTGAGGTTGAAATGAAAAAGATTAAGTACCGTAGAGATAAAGAAGTTGAACAAGCTTAACTAGAAAGGGATAGGGAAGCATGAAAGCAACGAAAAATCAATCTCGAATTGTTCAAGATACTTGAAGCAAAACCATACTCATCTGAAGAAAATTAAGAAAGAAGAAAATTTAGTGAAAATTTTATTCCCGTCACGTTAATATTAAGTGTTCACTTATTGTCCTAGGGTTAATGTTTGATTTGTACACCCGGATGTACCATGGACATTGTACACCCGAGCAAAAATGACATTCGCTTCTTTATAAAACGCAGGCACCAAACAAGCTTAAAGAAGCGGAAAGAACATAATGTTGGTAAATAATGAACATGCATATTATAAAGAACATCAAGTTAAGATAAAAAGAACGCGAGATTTTCTCAACATTATTCTTTAATTACGGGAAAAGATCTACCCATGGCTCACATTAACTGATAAAATCTTTTCAGAAATTATCATTTTCCAAAATCTGATTCAATTTCTCTCCAAAAATAAAGTTTTTCATAATTATTTTTGTTCTCTAAAATTATTTCACCCAAAAATAATTTAAGATTTCGTTTTTGAATTTCAAAATTCAAATTATTTAAATTTCATTTTCAAAATTTCAGTTTTCAATTTTTTTATTTTATTCACATTTTTTACCAATTATATATATAGTTATAATATTCATTTTAGGTTTGGTATATATATTTCTGGTGATGTTCTATATGTGATTTAATAATGTTCTTTATTAAAAAAAACATGATATACTTTATGGTTGTTGTAATGTACAATTAATTTTTACAACTATATTTTTTCCTTATGTCCATAATTATATCATATAATGATTTTTATTAGATCTTTTGACAGATTATTTTAAATGTCCATGTTCTTTGATTGTAATTGCAATGTACTTTTATTGTCATATAATATTCATTGCTTATTGTGAAAAAACTCTTTGAATTTTGTCTTTGGATCGTGGTAGGTATATATATATATAAATTATGTTCATTACATAATATTATCATGTTATTTAATAATATTACGGATGTTCTTTAGATTTGAAAAACAATCATCAATAAAGGAGATCCCACAAGAATATCGTCATCAACCTTCATGATCCTGATTTTTTTTAAGAAAATATACATAGTTAATGATAATTATTATTAAAAAAAACATAGAATTAATTAATAATATAGTATTTAAAATTAATATTATAATTATTCAAAGAACATACAGGATAAATCAAAGTACATCGAAGCAAAGTACATAGGGGATAAAAATAAAGAACATTCATATGATTGATCAATAATTATAATAACGAACATAAGTAAACTTTATAAAGAACATCATCTTCAACCTTTCATATGGATCTCAAATTCATAAATATCAAAATTGAAAATAAAAACAATGATAATTTTACAATAATCGTGCAATATAATAACGAAACATAATCAACCTAATAAGCAAAATTCTGAAATTAAAATCATAACAAATAAATTTAAATTACCTTCTCCATCGATTACAATGTTCTCATATTTTGCTCTATATTTTTCTCTCTACAAAATTCTCTATAAACTTTGTTCTCTATCTTAATTCGAAATTGAAATAGTGTGAAATTTAATTTTGGAAGTTGTGTAAAAATGGAGAATATATATCACGTTGAATCCCATGAATTGTGGAAGAGATTGGTTTTTTTTTTAAAAAAATAACAAACTGACAACTTGCAAATGAAATGTTAAAAACGCATCATTTAACACCAGGTGTACCATAAGCATGGTACACTCTGGTGTATTATGCAATTTTCACCTATCTAGGGTTAGTTATTAGAACGAACAAGTGTAAGTTGTAGTTTTAAATTTTAATAAATTGTTATTGTAATATATGATGTTTTTATTATTAATGAATGTATTGTCATCTTATCATTCATGAATGACTATGTTTGAGAAGCCTAGATGCCCAAAATATAAACTGTAATTTTCTTTTATTTGATTTATCACTCCATCAAAATTTATAGACATTATAAACTTGTCATAAATGTAGATGTTTTTCATATGATGTGATTTCTCATTGTCAAAAATGAAAATACTGAAGCAGTGCAGTAATGACATTGATAAGACATAACACTGATCACATAAGCCAACTGCAATTTTTTAGATTGATGAGATGTAACACTGATAAAGTGTGTATGTAATTTTTCAGAAAAAGTGTCAAACAAATGTACGATAGCTATATTGATGTATATTACTGATATTGTTCAATTATTATTCTATATATTGGTGTACATATTAGTTTCACTTCACCCAACCCATTTCTTAACTCTTACATCAATTTTTTTTTTCATAAAATATGTCCAATGAAAGTTCTAACAATTCTTCCTACTCATCTTCTAATTCTTCCAATATTCGGATAATGATGGATGGATTCATAATGTCCGACCTAATTGAATTCTTTCAAATGATTCACCAAGTTCCGAGGGTGCCAAGGACATTGGTCGAAAGGGATCATGAAGATGGACATAACCGTCTATGGAGTGACTACTTTTCTAACCAACCAATCTACCTTCCAAACTTGTCCCATCGTAGATTTTGCATGAGAAAGCATGTCTTTCTTCATAAATTGCAAACTTTAGAAGAACGTCATCAGTTCTTTCAACAAAGACCAGATGCCGCTGGTAGATTAGGTGCATCAGCTTTGCAGAAATGTACCGCCGCTTTGAGGTTGCTTGCATATGGTGGTGTAGCTGATTCCGTTGACGACTACCTACATATTAGTGCTTATCTTGTCAGAAACTATTTACAACATTTTGTTGAAGGAGTTGTCTCTTACTTCTGTGACGAATACTTGAGAAGACCCAACGAAGAGAATTTGGTCAAATTGTTACGAGATGGGGGGCACCCAAGTGTTCCAGCATGATGGGATCCATTGATTGCATGCACTGGCGATGGAAGATTTGTCCTCTTAAATTAAAGGGTATGTTTTCTAGAAGAGCTAATAAGCCCACTTTGATTTTGGAAGTAATTGCTTCACAAGACATTTGGATTTGGCATGCTTTTTTTTGGGACCCCAAGAAGGTGTAATGGTATAAATGTTACAGATAGATCTCCATTATTTAATGATGTTTTTGAAGGTTGAGCACATCCTGTTAAGTATGTTGTTAATGGCCACCGATACAATATTGGGGAGCAGATTAATCACAGGTTCTTACATTTTCAGAACTTGCATCAAGGTGGTGGGATTTTGAGTGGAGTGTTGGATATTTCCATAGTATATTTCATTTCATAAGTTTGGATTTATTTTAACTCTGGTTTGATTTATTTACTACTTTTATTGGGTTTTGAATAAGGGTCTTAATGGTTCCAACTTGTAAGACTAAATTTGGTTTTAATTATTGGTTTTGAAACTTATTGATAACTGAGTTAGTTTTTCCGCTGCTAAATTATGAACTAGCTTTAATGTTTGAACACGTGGCGGTAGCACGTTAGTAATTCTCTTGCAAATTATTAAAGGTATTTACAGGTTTTTAAGATAGGATTATTGGGGTGTTACAAAGTGGGATCTGGGAGCTTAGGTTTGATTTGATTACCACTAAAGCCAATTAGTATGTCTTAGGTGCCTAACAAATCGATTAAGGATTTTGTATTTAAAAGTAAAAAATGATTTTAAATTTAACTGTGTTTGAACTAATTGTTTTAAATGTTTATAAAATAACTTTGAAGCTTGAATTATTTATTGGTGAGATTCGGGTAGAATTAAAAAGGGCATGCATGCATACTGAATATCTTGCATTTATTTAATTATTTTGCAAGTTGTTATTTAATAATTGTATGATTGTGTTCTAATTGATTTCCTCTATGATGTGCTTGTGGCAATTCTTTGAATGCTTGTTATGTTGGGATAACGTAGAGAGATGGATATAAATCCAGTGAAGGTGACTCGGCATAATCAGGAAGTAAAAATCGAGTACAACACAGACTCTTGGGATGAGTGGACCTTACATCCAAACCGAAATGATGAAAGGGAGGTAACATACCAGCATTGGTACGAGTACAGAACAACTAAGAAGAAAGACAAAAAGAAGCTCATTCGGAGGATCCTTAATGAGACATCAGATGACGAGGAGGACTTAGAACCGCCAAAACCACAAGTTGGGAAGAGGACTACTGAAATCCAAACCCAATTTACAAAGTTGTTATTGAAGATTCCGAAGATGAGAATGACCCTATTTTTTATGTTAATACTTATGAGGAAGAGAAAGACAATTACTCAAATGTCGTCCCTTGAAGTTATACTTACTAGCATAGATATAGTATTAGGAGTTCCTATTTATTATTGGTGACTATTAGGATTTTTATGGAATAAAGTATCTGTTTTAATAAGTGGCAGAGAGCTACAAACTACTGTTTGCGATTAGTACTTTCATTTGAGTCATATTAAGAGTTATTATTTTATTTTAAGGATTCCATTTTATTTATATTCTTGTGTTAGAAACAAGTTAAATTTTTGTAATTACATATAATTTTGAGGAAAACTTCTTTGTTTATGATTAAGTTGAGTAAGAGTGGCGCGGGATGGGAATTATTTTCTTAACTTTATTCAATCCGGCGTGTGGATTGTGCTTATATTCGTTAGATTTTGCTTTGGACAAGGGGGTGCAAAGACCAAAGTACCCTTTTCAACCAATTTATGTGATAAAATGTAATATTGTGATTGAATGAGTGTATGTGCACAATGTTTGAATTCTGTATAAGCTGGAGTGAATGTTTACCTTCTTTCAGGCGTAGAACTAGAATGGCGAATAATGCTGCTTTAGATGAGGCCATCCATTGTAGTGTTTCGTAGTGACCCTCACTACGCGGAAAGAAACCCCCCAAGACCCGCCCCGATAACTAAACAAATTAAAGCATGCAAAACATAATTAATACAAAATTAAAATAAGAAGGGATAAAGAATTATACCCTAGACGCGTGCTTCGCTTGCTAAAAGAGCTCCTACTTCAACCTCGCAAATGCAAGGCCTCCGACGGTTCGTACCCTCGAACCCGACCCAATCGTCCTAAGCCCCGAAGGTTAGTCGGGACCCGGACAAAATATAAACTTTGGAGTTTTAAGAACTTAAGGTATTCTCAACAATGGAGATGCCTATATAGTTCCACTCAAGTGTGTTATTTCCCAAATGCCAAAGCCTTGGTATTTATAGGGAAATGAACCCTTGGATTTCATTCTCCAACCAATGTAAAAGAATGAAAAAATGTGATAATTTATTTAATTCTAAATTAAATAATAAATCAAAGCAATCACCATGCAACAAGTGTCAAGGGGAGAGAGATAGTTAGGTGAGGACCAAAACCGATGGGGGGACCATTGCCTTGCTCCCCAAGGCTTTGCTCCAAGCATTGGTCCCCGCCTCTCACAAACCGGCATCACCAAGGGCTCCTGGGCTAGCTGTCAGCTAGCACAACCAGCATGCATCAGCCCCAGCCAGCACAAGCGCGCTGCATGCTGCTGTGCTGAGTGATGCCTTCGCTGCTGCTGCTTCCTACGTGCTGGGCGCTGCTAGCGAGCTGCCGCTGCCTAGCCAACGCATATGCACACGCACACGCACAACCATACTAGCTGGTGCGTGGTGCTGCTGCCTACCCCTGCTCGCACACACTCGCATAGCCAGCATGCGTGGTGCTAGCGAGCCACACATGCTGGGCATTGCCTCACCAGCCACGCGCACAAGCATGCAATGCTTGGTGTTGTGCTAGCGATGCCATGCATGCACACGCACCCACACGCATAGGCCTAGCCATGCGATAGGATGTGCTGTGTGCTGCGATGGTGCGACAGCCCTAGGCACACACACACGCACACACACGCAATGCGATGGTGATGTGCTTGTGCAATGGGCTGCGATAGTGATGATATGCCATGCGAAGGCTGCAATGGCATCTACACACCCAAGCACACATGCTGCAGTGGTGTTGTGCCATATGAAGGCACGTACACACGTAAGCATGCTGCTGCGATGAGCTGCCTTGTGTGCCTAGCACACATGACGCGCCTAGCACACACATGGTGTGCCTAGCATACACATGGTGCGCCTAGGCTTGCGAAAAGCTAGCCTAGCCTAGCACTTCACATGGCTAGGCCAATGTGATGCTACGCCTATGCTCGTACTTGTTGCTTGTGATTTTGCGACGCTCGGTCTCGACGCCCTAGGCTCGATATCCGACATCTATGTTCGTAAAACTCCGACGACTCATTGAATCCTTCGGATTGATTCGTCGTCTCGGATCGGTTGTTCGATTGAGTTCGACCCGAAGGGTTCAGTTAAGATTAAGCTGTAATATTAATTATACCTTAATATTATTGATTGGAAGCGGCCTCCACCTAGGCATTCCGATCACTTGACCTTACTAAAGAATTAGCTCTGTAATAATTCCGAACCCTCTATCAGAATAATACACTTGTTGGAAGGACACCATTCCTTTCAATCTCCCACTTGTCCTTCCGGACAAGTGTGCATACAGTGTATAGCCCATTTCCTAAGTCGCTTAATGTCTCTTCATGAACTATAAGGTAAGATTCATCGTCATTCTTATTACGTTCAAAAGTGTTTCTCGATCTCCGAGTTCGACTATCAATAAGCAGATGATTTCTAAAATCCATCTGAGCACGACCATGCATTTTCAAAGTCTCGCTCTTCGAGCGGCCTTGTAAACAACAAAGACATGATCCCTATTGTTAATAGGGGAACATTCCCAGTCTTGTACTGTAAGTTTCTCTTACTAAGAGGACCTAATCTCCCGAGTGTTCCCGTTATGATCCCCAATTACAGCAGACGTTAGGCAACATCAAAGAGACTAGTACTCAAACAAGAAAAGTTCACAATACTCATGGTCGATGAAATAAGTTCCGATAGCAATAATGAGAAATTTACTTATGACAATTTTGAATCTCTTAAAGTACTCTCATAGGTATATCCGGTGCAGTTCCAAACTAACACCTGTGCAAATGATTTATGACTACTATGTCCTTGCAGCACAAGAAACGGTGTTGTAAATCATACTACACACTAATCTCCAGTGGTCATTAATCATCCATCAGTTAAATGACCTCGATTAGGAATGATTTTCGATTTAAATATTCAATGTTCACTTAAAAGGTGTTTCTTTATCCAAGACATGGTCTTGATATCCTGTTTTGAATATTTCCATAAATCGAATGGACTCATTATTTAATTCTAAACCACAATTAAATAGCAATGGAGTGAATATAAAATATAAAATTCATTACTCCATAAATGAATGGTTTCAATACAGTGTCTTACATTAAAACGACCAGTTTAATTAAAACACATGTACAGGGAATTTCAAAGCCAATCTCCACCATGCTTGATTCCCATTGCCTCAATGTACTTGTTGTGTTTCACTTGAGGCACAGGTTTAGTCAAAGGATCAGCCACATTATCATCCGTTTCGATCTTACAAATTCTGATTTCACCTTCCGATTTCCATTCCCTTATCATGTGAAATCGCCTTTGGACATGTTTGACCTTCTGGTGCTCTCTCGGCTCTCTAGCCTGAGCGATAGCTCCATTGTTGTCACAGTAGAGATCTATCGGACCCTTGATGGAGGGTACAACACCAAGTTCACTAACGAACTTGCGAATCCAAACAGCCTCCTTAGCTGCTTCTGAAGCTGCCAAGTATTCGGATTCAGTTCTAGAATCTACAGCGGTGCTCTGCTTGGCACTCTTCCAGCTAAACGCTCCTCCATTTAGGCAAAATATGTACCCTGACTGTGACTTGAAGTAGTCTCTGTCAATCTGGAAGCTAGCGTCGGTGTAACCTTCAACAACCAGATCTTTATGGCCACCATAAACCAGGAATTTATCCTTGTTCCTTTTCAGGTACTTCAAGATATTCT